TGACATTTCGGCGCAGGTCAAAACCTTCCTGTTCCAGAAGGCTTTTAATTGAAATAACAACTGTGGGTCCTGATGATGGCAATTTTAATTGTATTTTAATTGTATTTTAATTGTATTTTAATCATTTTATTGTATTGAATTTTAATTATTGTAAGCCGCCCAGAGACCTCTGGGTAGAGTGGGCGGCATATAAATTAAATAAAAAAAAAAACAACTTTCACAACCCTCACCTTAAAATGTAAATATTAAATGGTTGCCTTGGGGCAGCACTCTGTGTAGTTATGTGGCTAGTGTTAGTTTTTAATCTTGACCTGTAGAGACTCATATACACATACATTGTGTGTGGAGGTTGCCCCAGTGAATGAATGAGCAGTAAGTAATTGGCTCACCAAGCAGCATTTTACACCTGGCTCTGATTGATAGACCTGGTGGTCTAATTTAAAAAAAGAAAGTATATCCTGCTAACTTGAAGTCTGCCCATTAGTGTGTTAGTTCATTTGTATGTGTGACTTTATTAACAGCAGTCTTTGTATGTTTTCGAATAGCCCTTAATTTGTGATCCCCTATCTGAGTCTGTGCTGTCCTACTGCTATGCAGACCTATGGGAGAGAGAGAGAGTCAACTCATTTCATGATTCTGTGTTTGGGGAGGTGACCAGCTGCAAGGGAAAGCAGGCAGCGCTATAACTCTTGGACTACTCTTCTCTAGCCTCAGACTGAGTCCTGTATTGGTCATGAGAAACCTTGCCACCTGACAAATGAAAATAGTACTGCCGACTTCTAATACATGGATTTGCTTAAATACATTAATATTAATTAATAAAATAGCTCTCATCTGAGTACCCCCAGAGTACCTTAGTGGTTTCAGATAGGATTTATGTTCTGTGGATACTTGAACTGCAAATACATGTTTTCTTAAAAGGAGATTATTCCTTATGAGTGGAAATACGTCTTCCTTATACATAGAGATATTTACAAAAATGTTTTCTAAGATAATTCATCTCCCACTTTTTGTTGATTCCTTTATTAGGTTTATCTTTCAATATATACGAGGGTCAGATCACAGCGTTACTTGGACACAGTGGAACAGGGAAAACAACGCTGATGAATATTCTTTGTGGATTGTGCCCCCCTTCGGATGGTAAATATCATTAAAATATGACTATTCTGCTACTTTGGATCCTTGTTCTTCTCTTGCATCCATTTAAAATCTCACAGCCCCTTCTTAAAGAGTGTGGATGACATTTGTAGGAAGAACTAAACAACTTGCCAGGGTCTACTGGTGCAAGATTTACATAGCAGCACCTGGCGTCCTGCTGTCTTCTCTGTTATATGATTTTGGACAAGTCCACTTTGCACCTCAAGGTTTCAAATGTAATAGATTCCTCTCTCTTCTCCATATAGCATTTTGGCCACATACTGGAGACCGTCTGTGCAGACCTTGGCGTTTCTGTGTATGGCTATTTTTCACTAAATTTGGATGAATATTCTCTGTTGGTGATTCAGTTGTACTGTAATCTTTTTCTTCTCATTTTATATGCATTAGGTTTTGCATCAATATATGGATCTAAAGTTTCTGAAATAGATGAAATGCTTGATATCAGACAGATGATAGGAGTTTGTCAGCAATTGGATATATATTTTGATGTATTAACAGTGCAAGAGAATTTATCAGTAGTTGCCTCAATTAAAGGCATACCACCCAATGATATGATACAAGAGGTGAGTAACACAGATTAAAAAATTATAGAACGGACAGGTAATTATTTTTGTTTAATACAATAATATTATTATTTTTATGGTTTTCTTTAAAAGAGTCACAGTACAACACACTTAACATGTATTTTGATCTATTGAAGTTTTTGCATTATCTATATGTGAACACAGATGTAACTAAAATTATCAGTGGAAGTTCTACATTCAAAAAAGGGCCAATTATAATGTACCTAAACTACTACTCCTTTTTTTGTTTGTTTCATTACATTTTTAACATCTCTTCCTAAAAATTTCTGCTTTACCTTAGTAAATGTAAGGTGCAAAAGCTGACAGGATTTAAAAAATAAATTCTACCAAGACTGAAAACTTTATTAAAAATTTGCATTTGAATAGTTTTATTTATTCATCTTTATAGCAGATTTCCATTCCACTTTTTGATTGGATCTACATATTGATTTGATGCTCTCTTCACTTCTTCCTTCCTTCCTTCCTTCCTTCCTTCCTTCTGAATCACAGAGCAGTTTTTCTTTGATGGCCCTATGGTATGAAAGGATAGGATTTAATATAGAAGGGCTGAAATCCTGTTATAATAACTTATGCCATGTAAGGCTGATGACATCATCATCAATTGTGTTTTTTTCAGAAATTAAATATTTCTGAGTTCTGTCCCAAAGTTTTCAATGTTGAGAACTCACAGGAGCCATAGAGATGGGAGGGAAATGCACAAGATGTAGTACATTTCATAAGCTGTCCAGAGCTTTGGGTATTGGGCTTTATAACAACCTAGTGGTACTTGTTCTAATTACCAGTGAATAACTTATTGTACTTGATTTGATAAGGTTCAGAAAGTCTTATTAGATTTGGACATGCAGCCTATTAAAGATAACCAAGCTAAAAAACTCAGTGGAGGACAGAAAAGAAAATTGTCGGTTGGATTTGCAGTTCTCGGGGATCCAAAGGTAAACACCTTCTAAATATTTTTGTACTCTTATGGTTGAAGTTTGTAGAAATAATTTTGTTGCATATTTATTATTCCTATTTAATTAGCATTAAGATTTATTACTCATATGAATTCTCAGTTTTAAATTAAAAATAGTCATTTTCTGCAGTTAACAGTGATCCTGTCCTGTTTCATTGTCAACAAGCATGGCAGTGGTTGACGTCTTTAGTACCAAAGACAGCAGAAAATTAGACAGATATACATGGGAGTCTGCAGTGGAGGGAAGAGGGATGCTTGTCCACTGGATCCAAAATGTACAGTATTTATTATTTTAATGTCCACAAGACACCTGCAAGTTCTACTGAGATACTACTATGCAGATTTGCCTGTCACTTGTAAGATGGAGCTTTAATGTGGGTGCAACCCCCCCTACCCCCAACCACATGCCTTGAGAAATTCCAAAAACCATTCCTTGCTCTTCTTTGAGAACTTTTAAGGCCATTTTTGTAAACTGTACCAATAGTGTGGCAGTCAGTGCAGTTCCTTCCAACACACTACGGTAAATGTTCCATGTTCTGGAAAGAATGAGAGGTGCCATGCTGTGGTCTCTGACCATACTAGTATTGCCACAGCTTCTAGGATGCTTAATTCTGACATGGTTAGGATCCCCATTCACCAGTATAAACCTCTCTGAGGTCTGCTGCTTTACAGTGGGTTCCACAATGACAACATAATATAAGATAGGTATTAAAGATCCATCTAGACCCTGTATTGTGGAAATAAATTGGCATAGCATTGATAGAAAGTATTTCTTCAACTACTAATATCTACTTCATTGCCAAGTAACATTTGTGCTGGGATAAGAAATACTCAAAGGTGTATCTCTTGTTTTCCGTGGCCAAAAATCTAGGTCTTACTGTTAGATGAACCCACTGCTGGAATGGATCCATGTTCTCGACATACAGTTTGGAACCTCCTGAAAAACAGAAAGGCCAACCGAGTGACCGTTTTCAGTACCCATTTCATGGATGAAGCTGACATCATTGCAGGCATGTTCAGTTGGGGGCTTGTGCCTTAAGTGTATCGGACTCACGGGGAATGAATCAGAGAGTGTGGGGATGTAGCCAACTTGGTGGGATGGCTAACTTAATTTCTTCTCCATGTTTTGTTTTGTTTTATGATGTCCTTGTTGTTGTTTTTTGTCATGGTTTGTTCAATTTTATCATACTGTTAAGTTCTCAGAATATAGACATTTAAATACATAAATAGTTGTTCCCTTGTTTGCTACTCTACAAACTGGTATGGCTAAAGATAGCTTTTGCTCCTATTTCTAGATCGGAAAGCTGTGATTTCCCAGGGAATGCTGAAATGTCTTGGCTCTTCTCTCTTCCTTAAGACAAAATGGGGAATTGGCTACCGCTTGAGGTATCTTTTGGTTGTGTGTTGGCCCTGTTTCAGTGTGTGCTATAATGCCATCAGTCTCTGTGTCCGGGTTTACAGGAAACAAAAAGTAGTTGTGTGATTTGTGAGTAAAAACAAAATTAAGAACTCTATAATATTTTTACTGAGGTCCCTAAATGTTACAGAAAGGTTGAACTTTCAAGCAGGGAAGGAGAAAGGAACAAAAGGTTCAAAACTCTGCTCAGATGTAGAGGTCACTGTCTTTGGAGGAAGCTGACTTCCAAGATGGATAGTTCCAAGATGGTGGCTGAGGAATTTGCCTTGAGCTAAGCCTTACATTAACCATTTATAGTCTGGTACCAAGCAGTCTTCCATAGTTTGTCTCCAGCTAGCATCCACTATTAAAGTTGCCAAGCCAGGTCCACACCCCTCCAAGTTCAAAGACTGTGGAGCAGGCCAGCCCTAGAGGTTGTTCCCTCCTCTCCCCTGGATCCCCCAGCTCGAGGGGTAAGTCCAAAAACTCCTCTTCACCAAATCAGGGCCTGCCTGCAGGTGCTCACCAAACCATGGACTTTTTCTTCTCCACCTGCAAGACTAACCGGCCAATGAAATGGGAAACCATCTGAGGCCTCATTTTTCCCCATCTGGCATCTCAACAGAGCCCTCAGGGCCCTCTTTCTAATATCACATATTGCCTTCCTCTGAAAGATGAAGTCCATCTTTTCTATAAAGGTCTTGCCTCTTGTACAAAATGTTTGGAAGTGTTTGCTTCAGTCCCACCTCAAAGGCAGCCCTCAACTCTCAATTTGCTTTGCATCAGCCCTTTTCCAAGCACCTGGGGACCCCCTCACTTCACTATTCCTGCCATTTGCAAAAGAGCACATTTTTGGGCTATTTAATGATCTTAATGGCGTGATTCTCTCTGTGGTTTTGTTTTGTTTTGTTTCTCCTTAGCATGCAAATAGACCAATACTGTAACAGAGAAGGTACATCATCTTTGATCTGGCAACATATCCCTGGTGCCAGCCTGTTAAAGCAGAGTGAAGAGCAACTTGTGTATGCTTTACCATTTAAAGACATGGACAAGTTTTCAGGTATAACCCATCTCTTTGTGAACGCTGCATCAGGTTGCACCTCGGGAGGAGATAAAATCCATTGCCTTTCTCCCTCTCGATAAGCAAAGGAATCCTTCGTCAGTCAGTGAATCTCTTAACCTTCATTGAAGCACAGCCGACTCCTGCCTTGTCTGGAAGTACAAGCACATAAAAACTTGGCAAATTCCCTCTGATGGAAAAGGCATAAATTACATTTAGGGACATGCTTGCTAAGCAACATTTAGTTGAAGCCAAATTCATAGTATGATTGTGAGACAGGCATGATGATTAGTGATGAGAAATAAGGTTTTGTAACTTATAAACACCATTGATAAAAATGAACTGGGCTTTATAGGGACGAAGGCTGTTGCACTGCCTCATACTTTGGAAGAGATGCGCATTACACTGGACTATCACTTATTTATTTATTTTATTTAAAATATTTTTACCCTGCCTTTGTCTTTGAAAAAGGACCCAAGGCACCTTACGTCATTAAAAGAAAATATTTAAAGCTACAAACAGAAAGTATGCAATTAGTAAAAAGGATTAAACAATTAAATACGGTAAACAATAGTAACACCAAAAACACATTAACAACACTGAGGGACACATTCAACATCCCCGCTGAAGCAGTCAGTCATTCAGGGAAAGCCTGCCGGAAGACAGAGCTCTTCGCCTGCTTGCAGAAGGATACTAAAGTTTGAGCCAGCTTTGCCTCTTATGGGAAGGAATCCCAAAGTCTCCCAATACCCACCAATCCCATCTGTGAAGGTAGGGGCACTGAGAGAAAGCCTCTCCTGATAGTACCTGACCAGGCTCATAATGGGAAAGGCAGTCCTTGAGATCGCTTGGATCTAAAGGGAAATGTCCAAATTATATCTCATGCTGGCCACTTTTCTTTCATACCATGTACCTGGGATTTGATCCCGGGCTGAAAAGCATCTTTTATATATCTTTAGACTAGACATGGGGATGAATTAAAAAATAAATCACAATATTCATGAAAAATCACTGATTTGTTAAATATTCATCCCTTCATATTTGTCAGTTCCAGAGACCCTGACAAATACAAAGGGATGAACATTTCCCCATTTTTATTTGTTCCCCCATACGAAGAGAGGGAAGGCTAGCCTTCCCTTTCTTCCTATGACTTTCCCATTCTACATATGAGCCCACTGATCAGCTGATCGGTGGGCTGATAGGAAGCCAGCCACCCCCACAGCCACCCACCCCCACATCCTATCCCTGACCCTTCCCCTCCCTACTTTAGCCACTGCCACCATCCACCACCGCCCATTGCCATCATCATCTACTGCCACCCGCTGTTGCCGCCATCCATCACCAGCTGCTGTGGTGGCCTCCGCAGCCACAGCCTGCTGTAAGGGACACTGGCTGCCCCTTACAAAGACGGTGGCTATGGCTTCTTTTAGGGCAGAGAAGTTGCAGCCAACATCTTTGCAAAGGGCAGCCCGGATTCCCTTAGCCTGCCTTAAGGGAATCCAGGCTGTCCTTTGCAAAGATGGCAGCTGCAGCTTCCCTACCCTAAATGATGCCGTATCCGCTATCTTTGCAAAGGGCAGCCTAGATTCCCTTAAGGCAGGCCATAGTGGCAGAGGCCATAGCAACAGGCGGCGCTGGATGATGACTGTGGAGACCGCTGTGGCACAGCCTTCCGTGGTTGGCGGCAGTGGCGGCAGCACAGACTGTGGCAACCAAGGTAGGGAGGTTACAGGGGTAGTGGGAAGGGAGCAGGGTGGTAGGCTGTGGGGGTGGAGGGTTGGCTTTTTTTTTAGACTCCCCCCATGAACCAACAAATATATTTGGGTTTTGTCAGTTCATGGGGAGGATACTCGTGTTTTGTGCTTCGTCAACTTTGATGGATCACAAAACGATTTGTCCCTATCTCTACTTTAGACCTTCTAATGTTGTTGTGCCGAGTGGTATGAATAAGCAACAGGCCATGATTACAAACAAGTGTAAAAGTATTTCCAACATAGTGCCATAACTTTTGTATTTTTCTAGCCCTGTTTGCTGATCTAGATGTTAATTCCCATTTGGGTGTTATTTCGTATGGTGTTTCCATGACAACCTTGGAAGATGTGTTCCTCAAGCTGGAAGTTGAGGCCGAAATTGGTCAAGCAGGTGAGAAGCCAAAATGTATTGCCATAATATTTTCCTATATAATGTAATGATTACAATCAAAATTGTATTTCAAGTTAAGTGTAATTTGGGAATACTTTATGATAACACATTGTTCTCAAATGTTTAGAATGAGAAATCATTAAGATAGCAATCCTGTGTGAATATGCTAGGAAGTAAACACCATAAGAACTTAATGGAACCCGACTCACGTGTGATACAAGAGTTAATATATCTGACTAATATTTTTAGGGTTGGTCTTTATGTCTTCTGTTCCCAGTGGGCTAATGTTTGCATTCTATGCTTTAACTAACTGTGTTGTTTTCCCCTTTCTCTATGGCACTAGTGCATTATGTGCACAAAGAATTATTACATCTTCATTTAAGCTGCAGCCTCTACCCATATATCTGGAATGTTTTTGAGTAGACATGTTTATAATTAATGTGTTACTGACCCTTGTAATAAATCTGATTAAAAGGCAAGATCTGGTCAAAAGGGATACATTTTAACTTACCTGACTCTTATTTCCTAGATTTTGGTGTTTTTAATCCACAACAAATGGAAGCGGAAGCAGATGTGAAATCTATTGATGGGTTAGAGCAAAATCTATTAATGCTCTCTGAGACCAAATCTTGCACATTGAGCAGTATGGCTCTTTGGAAAAAGCAGGTCTTTACTATGGCAAAGTTTCATTTTCGTAATGTCAAACGTGACATTAAATCAATGACAGAAATGTAAGTATCTCTGTTCTCTGTGCCCTAAAAATCATTGCAGATTGGTTTCATTAAAGATGAGGTGCACTACAGTTTTCACAGCAAAACCAGGGGAGAAGAATATTTCTCAGAGTGTCTATTGAATGGGCACAGAATGTTTATTGGACAGGGAGTGTTAACAAAAAATTAGACTAGCCATTTGCCCTTCTTCCATACTACCTTTTGACAGAGTAACGGTAGTACAGATATAACACCAGGGGGCGATAACTAAAAGAATCTTCCCTGAGATGATGAAGATGCCAAGCAACAGAGTAGTGTTGAAAGCAGATATTGTATTATTTACAGAATATACAGGTATATTTACTGTTAAGTCTTTGTTCTCCGTCCCAAAGTAATGCGCAACAGTTTTCACAGAGTTTAGTGCATATATCAGAGACAATGCCCAGTAGTCATATACCATACGTTCAATCCAAATAGCCAGAGTTCCTCTTCAATGCCAAGCACGTAGACACGGCTTCCTCCAGAATTCTCAGGCACAGGAACACGACGACTCTTCTCCACGAACACACCAACAGCATCACCACCAACAACCCACAGATTGTGTGTGCTTGTGTTGCTAGTTTTATCCCATGGATAACCAATCCCATGATTGCATTCACAGCTGTAACAATCACCTCAGCTGTATACATTCAAGCTTTGCTTCACTTTACAATACTGGTCCTGACAATACTTATTGTCATGTTACAGAACTTGAGTTAACAATTCTATCAGGTTTAGCCCAAACCTGTCACCTTTCTTTTTCCTGCCTCTGTTTTCTTCATTTCCGATGACATGCAGATTATAAAATCCTTGGGGATACTGATCTGGGTTATTTATATATTTACTACTATGTGGAACACCAACATGGATGGACTGATGGACAGATGGACAGATAGCTAGACGGATAGACACACAGATAGATAGAGGCTGTAATCCTGTTATGTAACTTACACTGCATAAGGCTAATGACATCATTAGATACAGTGATATGTGTTTTTTGGGGTTTTTTTAAAGAAACTAAAAATTTCTGACTCCCCATCCCCAGAAGGTTTTGAAACTTCCTTGGAACCCCTTTCATTGTGGGAAAATTGTTCGTGGCCTTGGGATGGAGGGTGAACCTTTAATTTCCAAAAATCCCTACTGCTGGTAAAGTCATTCTGCTGGTGGCAATATTTAGAAGTTAAAGATATTCCCAAACAGCCCCTCTATAGTAAAAAAAAAAAGGGGGGGTTCCCAAGGGAGTCTTGAGACTTTTGGGGCTGGAAAATTAGACATTTTTAATTAAAAAAAAAACACTTTAGATGATGACACCATCAACCTTACACAATGTGATTTCTGGTGAAAATATTTCAGCCATTGGTAAAGACAGGCAGGAATAGAAACTGGCAGCTCTCTTGTCTACAAGCTCTCTTACGTCAGGTGTTTGTTGTTTGTGTATGTACCACCCCATTTGTGCAAAGCACTATTCTGGGTGGTTCACAAACAGAAAAAATAGAACAGAAATAATAACTCAAATAGTAATAATAATGGAATAAAAGCAAATCACGTTAGTTGAAAACATCAGAGAACTAAGACAATGCAAATGTTACACAGCTATGTTTTTTGCTTTGGGATTTAACAAGCTCTGCAGAGAAACATCCAACCTACCCCAGAAATTAAGAGATTACTCCCATTTAATTTCCTATTAATTTCTACTGTCATGGATGAAATTACATTTACACTGAGAGCCGTAAGGCAGTAATGTTACGGTACTTGGGGGCGAGAGCAAGACTTCCTGTGTGTAAGACTTGGCATAGTGCTGCGTAGTCTGCTCTGTCCAACTTTGTGTTAGCCCCTTTTCACCAAACCACACACTGGCCATTGCAACTTTACAACCGTCTTCATGGCTTTTTTTTAAGCCAAGACAGCTCCATGGGATATGCCTCTCCTGCCTCTGCATTTAGTAGACACTGATTCCTAACCTTGGGTAACCCATGTGTTCTTGGACTGTATTTCCCAGAAGCCTTTACCACCAGCTGTGCTGGCTGTGGTTTCTGGGAATTGTAGTCCAAGACTCCCTGGGTTACACAAGGTTGGGAACCACAGCAATCGATCATAACAACAGGTCTTTCACATCATAGCTCTTACCTAGCATGTACAGCAGGAGTGAGTAGCTCCAGCATTGGTGGTCCAGCTCCATTAGCCCTTTTCAACATAGCAAATGATGAGAGATGGGAGGAGCTGTGGTCAAACGACTTTGGGGATCAGCAACTTTTATGTAAGGAACAACTGCCTGTTCCTTAGATAAAACAGAAGTGATGGCTTTTTTAATGCAGAGCCATAGGTGTTGAAGCCTGGTCTATAAGCATGGTTTTTGTCAACGATTAGCTCTCCTAAGAGATGCTTGACCGGTGGCATAGAGAGTAATTAGAAGCTTGTGCCCCCTTATACAGCTGGGTTGAGTCCTGGTGACCTCAGCCAAGGGCTGCCCCAAAACCTCTGCTTACAAGTCTGCCCTGAAAAGATACTTCAGCAACCTTAGAAAATTCCAAAAAAGAAAAACACATGAGCTATGTAGTCCTTAGACTCACTGTGCTCAACAGGGTAGGACTCAGTAGCGTAAATGTGGCCTAATTTCCCCCTCAGGGTAATACCAAGACAGCTATACTGTTCAAAAGGCCAATTGATTTTTATAATTATTATTTTATTTAAAAAAGATATAAAGATTTACAAAATAAAGTCAGTTTAATGCATAAGCAAGCATATTTCAAGGCTTGTTACAAAATAGAAATGAAGCAACAATTCTCTTTAAATACAAAAACACTAAAAATCCTAAAAATCTCTAATTTATTTTATTTATTTTTATTATTATTATTTATTTTATTTATATCCCGCCTATCTAGTCAATTAAGACCACTCTAGGCGGCTCTATTAGGGTAGGCAAGAGGCACAAAGCTCCCCCTTTCTTCCTAGTCTCCCTACATTTCTATCAGTCCTTTTACCTGCACTGCGCAGCAGGCAAAAAGACCTAGAAAAACTATAATGGAAAAGTAGTCCAAAAAGGTCAAGGAAAGATGGAATGAAAATTATCCATAGCAAAAGTTCTTTTTTCAAGCTTCGCTAGAACCCCCCTTCTTCTCCGTCTCTCACGCTGTCTTCCAATCAAGGCACATGGTCAGGTAAACAGTTCCTCCTTATCATCTTTCTTCTCTTCTCATGGGAAATAGGTGTTGTTTTCCTTAGCACATCTGCAGCTCCGCCGTAACAAATGACCAGTCTTCTTATCTAGGAATGTCCTCTTCAGGCCTACAAGAAAACATTCCCACATCCCTCTAGAAAATACACTGTCAGCATGCAGAATCATTTATACAGAGAACAAATATGGAATCCTTTTTACATTGTTCACAACTACATATCCCATCCTCAGTACAAGATTTAATCCACATAAATCAATCCATGACATGCCACCGGTCGAGATGAACAAAAATCAGAAATTTCCTATGGAATTTCCATTTTTGCAATTAATTACAATGATAAGCAATAATTAATTATTTACATAGTGCAGCATAATAACTAATAATCCTATGCAACAATCTACTACATTATTACGTTCAAATATGCATCTAAACTAGCAAAGCAATTGAGGTAGGAAAATATTCTAATAGCAGCATGTGAATACATAAAAAATTGAGTTAGGCACTTTCACTAATCTGAAAAATAGAAAAACAATCATGTTAGTGTGAATAATCAAAATACTTCACTCTATATGTGCTTAGATAGCAATTCAGTAGTAAAAATAGTAAAATCATGAAATAATGGATAATATAGCATTGATTCAGTATGCTAATACACTATTAAGCAGTAAAAATAAGTAAAAAGCACTCTGTGTATGCTCAAGAACTCTGTGATACACAATTTCAGAAAAACATGAACAAATCACTTTCACCACTTTAACCAACTTCCATTTCTGAATCAGCACAATACATTCTGGATAAACTGTGTGCAATCACTGCTTTTCTGCCAGGCATGTGTTCAATAACAAAATCATACTCTTGCAATCTAAGACTCCAATACAACAATTTTTGGTGTTGCACTTTCTGTTTGTTTAGCCATGCCAAAGAATTCTTGTTGGTCTGAAAAACAACTTTTTGAGTATGAATGTAAGGTTTAAAAATACAGGCTGTCCATAAAATTGCAAAGGCTGCCCTTTCATGTCCATTATATTGTTTTTCTTTAGACTTAAGTTGTTTAGCAACATAAGCAACTGGGTGTAAGATTTCATCTTCACCTTTCTGTAACAACACAGCACCTAGACCGGTATCTGATGACATAGTTTGCACCACAAAAGGTTTGTCAACATCAGTTGATTTCAGAAAAGGATCCAAAGTAAGTAGTTTTTTCAAAACAACAAAGGAATCTCTACAATCTTGTGTCCAATCAATTTTAGCAGATCTCGGCTTTCTCACTAGCTTCTTGAGTGGCAAAACGAAATTACTGTAATCAGCAATGAACTCTTTGAAATGATCAACCAATCTGAGAAATGCTAGAACTTGTTCTCTTTCAGTAGTTATAGACCAATATTTTATGGCTAACACTCTGAGATACGAGGGTTGACAATAATCTGGTCCAATCCATAAATCTAAATAAGGAATTCTCGCTTTGATCCAACGATAACCATCAGTTGGTACTTTCATACCAGCATTTTGTAATCTACAAATACAGTTTCACCATGTTCCACAGTGGAGCAATCAGGACTAAAGATAACAAATAGAGTCACATAGGCAAATGCAAAAGGCAAATCCTTAAGTACTTCATCAGCAAGTCTTTGAAAAGTATGATTTGAATTTTTCAATCCATGTACTAGCTTTCTGAAACGAAAATTTCCCAAATGACATACAAAAGAGGTCTTATCTCTGGAATCTTCTTCAATTAGAATCTGATAAAATCCAGCATCCATTCTCAACATGGATATACATTCAGAGTTAGCTACCTTGTCAACCAAAGTTTCTACATTGAGTGAAGAAACACAATCTGGTTCTGTAATCTGGTTCAATTGGCTGAAATCTACTTCAAAAATAACATGATCTGAGTTCTCTCTTTCCACAGTCACAATAGAATTAGTCCACGCTGATCTGCTTTCCTCAATTACTCCAGATTCTAACAGTTCCTTAATCATTCCAGGTACAATCCTGACATTAGTCCCTTCAGCATATTCAGGACTGCAAGAAACAAGCTGGTTATGTCCAGTCCAAATGACATCTTTCACAATTTCAGTTTCACCATACTTATCAGAAAACACATCATGGTAATAAGAAATAATAGATTGAAGCCATTCTTGGGCGTTCATTTCTGAATCCTTTCCATCCAAATCATTTACTGTGTCATTTACCGTACATGACTTGCAAAAATAGGCACAATCTCCTGATCTCTTTGATCAAGAAATGCTATACACCATATACATTTTGGCTGTTTCAACTTCTGAAAGCTTAGCTGTTAAAACTGGATCTTCAATAGAAAAATCTCTGTTCCGTACTGCTCTGCACAATGAACATGACTGCACATATTTCTTGACACACCGCTTCATTTTAGGCCAATAAAAATACTCATGAAGCATTTGCAAAGTCTTTTTAAAACTCTAATGTTGACTGTCATTCTCATGAATGAGTTTCAAAACTTGATTTCTGAAAAACCACTATCTGCACTAAAGGGTTTGAATCTCCTTGTGTGAGTTTGTGAATCCTACGACAAAGCAATCCATTTCCATTCCAATAAAAACAAACAAATCCAGAAAAATCATCTAGTAGTTTAGCTGCTTCCCTAATTGCTTTCAAAGACACATCATTGTCCAAACAAATCTTGAATAAATTAGAGTTACTCATGGCATGAATGAATTGTTCAAAAACAGTAGCACATGAAAAATTCTCAGTTTGCTGCAAAGAATCAGCTGTGTGTTTCACTATCTCTCTCTGCTGAGAGTCATTAAACCTTTGAACTGTTGACTCGCCTCCCGAGCTTGTTAAGACATTCCTGGTATCAGTCTCCGAGTTATAAATCACCTTATCTCTCTCTGAAATAACATCAGGCCTCTCTGTTTCAGGAAAAATAGGTCCTAGTAGTTCTGAGATATTAATTGGCCTGCTAGTTCCACAGTCTTTTGCTTCATCATTTTGTAACCAACAACTTATAGTTCCTTTAAAATTATCCACATGATTCTCCAACTCTAATTGCAGTTGTCTCTCCTCTAATAAGTTCACTGTTTTAAAGACACTTCCACCATCAGTCTTGCAAATAACCTGCAGTATATCATTTTGCACCATGGCAAGGCAATCTGGGTCTCCAAAACAGATAAGTGACTCAGACAAAGCCGATTCATGCATAACCGTAGCCCCTTCCGTTAGTTGAAAGGAATTTAGAGCAGTAGATTCATTCTCCCCTCTCTCTCCACCTTGAACTCCTGCAACATCGTCGTTTGCTTAATGCCTAGTTGATTTAACTCTATAGGTAGTCCATTTAACTTCACTGAGGCAATATTAACCAAATCATCTTGGTCAGGGACTTGAGATGCAATAGATTTAACTGAAACTTGCCCCAAAGCAACATTTCTCTGTCAATTTTCTTCCCCTCCTGGGAATTCTGTCTCTTCAGCCCTCTGTGGATTCTTAAACTGGCAATCTTGTATAGAAAGTACCCCAACATTGAAGGTACAGTGGTGCCCCGCATAACGAGCAATTCTTTTAACGACGAATCTGCATAGCGATGTGTTTTTTGCGTTCGCATTGTGATGTTTCTAATGGTAAAACATCGCTTTGCGGTGATCGGTAAGCGTTTTGCTTACCGATTTTTGCATAGCTATGGTTTTTTAACAGCTGATCGGCGGTTCCAAAATGGCCGCCAGGTAAAGAAAATGGCCACCCGCTGTGTTTTTGCCCTGATTCCTCCTTACCGGGCAGCGAAAATGGCGGCCGCATGGAGGATTTCCGCATAACGGTGAGTTTTTTACCCATAGGAACGCATTAAACGTGTTTTAATGCGTTCCTATGGGCTTTTTTGCCCCGCATAGCGACGAATCCACATAGTGACGATTTTTTCAGAACAGATTATCATCGCTATGTGGGGCACCACTGTATTCTTAAAAATGTGCCCAGTTCCTCTCTGGAATTATCTGGTAGCTTCTGGGCTCCCCCATGGACATCTGGACAAAAGTCCTGTTGTTCTCCAAGCTTTGGAAAGTCATTAAGGCCCTGGAGAAAAATTTTCTCCCCACTAACTGCTAGGCTTTCGGCCCGAAAGGTAAGCCCATGTTTTCTCACCTCTCCTGGGATTTGAGTACTACATAGCAATACATCAAGATCATATAGATTGCTGCCTAATTATTTGCAGTGGCATATTGTGAGAATGTCAGTGATTTATTGAATAAGCTTTCATCAGAGCAGGGATGTGTAGGAGGTAGATTGCAGCAAATTTCCTGTGAATCATGATATAGTGGGCAAAATGCTATTGCATACATTTATGCTGGCAGAAACTATCCATTGGCCTCCCCTTTGCCCTATGGAAGCATTTAGCAGCTTTGGAAGAAGGAGGGGGAATCTTTAATGATAATTTTAAAAAATCACTGTTGGATCCCTGCCAGCAGGGTGGGGCTACACTAGCAATCCAGGGGCAATTTTCAGTTCCCAAAGGCTCCCCTGGGACAAAAGGGAGCCCTTGGGTGCCTCATACCTTGAAAACCAGGGATGGGGGAAAAACGCAAACCTTCAAATAATTAAAATTAAATTTCACTAGTATCAGCTGCTGTTGTCATCAGCTTCCAGTAGCATACATTTAAGCCACAGTTGAAGATAATATTTGCAAAGAATGCTGAACCAGGTGGTCTTGTGCTGTTTCAACATGCACACAGAATAATTTAATGTAGATTAGATCTCTTTTAAGAGATTATTTGTATGTTTTGTGTTTAGTGCATTACTAGTAAAGAAAAAGAGGTCATGCGAAATGGCTATATAAATATATATATTTTCTCCACTTTCAGATTCTTGCTCTTCACGGTGTTTCTGGGTGTTGAGATTTTTATGTTTCATATGTATCGGGACTATTTCAAAAATGCTATAGTTCCTGTTAAACTCTCTCCGGATTTATACTTTCTGAAGCCAAATGAAACTGAGCACAAATATAAAACCAGTCTCCTTATTCAAAATATCACTGGTAAGCAGCAGGACCAACAGTTGCAACTTATTTTCAGTGTATTTGTTTTAATGTACTGCAAAGTTATGACATTTCTGTGTTTTAAGCATCTGATGTACACTGGAAATAAACTGAGAGTGTACTCTCCATGCATCCATATTTATGAAATGGCTGGTGAATGACAGATGGAGAACTCAGGCTGTGAATAAAGTCTTGTATGTCCATTGAGTTAGTCGGCCAGAAACTCAAACACAGAACATATGCTTAGTGAAAGAATTGACTCAGCATGCTGGAACTTAGACATTTAATTTGTGTTTGCTAATCATGGTTTGAGTTCTCAATATCCAGGGGAATGGAATGTTTTTGAGCTGATAGTCAACTTCCAGATTTTGAGAAGTTGTTGTGTATATTCCTACAGAACAGCTGCCCCTGTAACCATTCATTTCCTTCAAGGCAAATTGTTTAAAAAGGAAAGTTGCTTGAGAAGCTGAGGGGAAACACACAGACATCCCCTTTCATCATGCACTCGCACAACCTTGGCAAAATATGTACCATAGCAAAACTAAGACAAGCAAAGGAAAAACAGGCAACACACAAACACATTTCTTGGATGTGTATCTTACTGTTGTGAGAGTGTCCTCCTGAAGAGAGCAATGATAATCAGCAGTAGAGAGACTTGGTAGTTGCAATGATGATGAGGGCAGAGAAATTCCTGAAGGCTATTGTATGTACAGTACATGTGGGTCCCACTGAATACAAGCCTCTCCATTTTCCTGTAATACTGACACGAGNAAGAGATGTAATAGAAAACAACAATAAAAATAGAAACATTAAAATCACCAACCCTAAAAAACAGATGGTACCAATTAATCATATACAGTGGTGCTTCGCTTTACGAGTGCCTCGTATAGCGATGAATTCGCATAGCGATCCAAAAAAAAAAATCTGTAATTGACTTGTTGACTTTCTTTCTGGTCTTAATTGCAGGTGTTGATGAGATCATCAACTCTCTTAGGAGTCAGAATATACTGACAGAAATGTTCAACAGCAGTGATTATGTATCAGCTGCCCCCCACAGTGGAGCATTAAATGTGTCCCGTGCAGATAAGGTGAGAAGGCAGGTTAAGTTTAACTGCTTTTCCTCTGTGGTTATCTCTGTGTGTATCTGCGTGGTCCGTCCGTCCGTCCGTCCGTCCGTCTTTCTTTCTTTCTTTCTTTCTTTCTTTCTTTCTTTCTTTCTTTCTTTCTTTCTTTCTTTCTTTCTTTCTTTCTCTGCCTCCCTGTGGGTGGCTGCCTGGGGGTGC